TGATGCACAGATAAAGTGGAAGGCTCCAAGAATGGGTTTTCAATGGTGCTCCACTCAGAGTCCTTGTCAGAGTAGATTTTATGCAGATTGTTCATTAATTATAAGCTGAAACATGACTTTGCATAAAAAGTACACCTCTTCAAGTTCCTGCTCCTTTATTAAGGTGATGTCTTTGTGCTTAGAACAGTTTCGTTGTATGTATTCAAAGGAAACCTGAACATAATTTTTCTGTGGAAAATAGGTATTAGTGAACTAAACAGCTCCCTCCAGCAAAATTAATTTCCAAACCCAGTAAATTTGCAAATAGATTTCTAGAGCATGTCTTGTTTATCAGGAAAGTAATGGTCTTGTAGTTAGGTCCCACTTATAATTCTGAGATTTGGGTTCAACTGCTGATTTTGTAGCAATTACTGTGGTACAACAGGACAAACATTTTATGTATGTCCCAGATCTTTAAAATTAATTTCCCTGCTCAAAGTATTTCTCTGAGACTACGTGTGTTTATGATGGGATCGAATGCTGTGGCAGTGGTGTATGAGTAATATAAAGAGATCTGTGTGTTGGAGGATAGAATTTATTTCCCCCACCACCACCACTTTATAGCAAACCTGTGTTTTACCACAAACCTTGTTCAAGCAGTTGTTATTAGGTGACAATGTTCTATTATATGGCCAAATGTGAGGCATTCAAAGCTTGGGAATGTATTATCAAGATTCAAAGTAATAGTAGTCACAAGTTCCACGATTTTTTAGAAATGCACTGTGAGTTGACATGCTTGTAACCGTTTTTGTAATAGGGAAGCAATAATGGCTTTTTCTTGCTATTTGTTATCCTGGCTGAAAAAGTTGGTTTGAATCTGGATGATGAATGACTCTTACCTGTTTAGAGTTGTCTAACGGGAAGAGTAAATTAGTGTTCCTTTTCTTCCTTTGACTTATTAATTTTAAAATATACTTGTTTGAAGAAGAAATACAATCTCTTTGGCATGACATTTGATGCAATGTAAAAGTTGATCTGTATTTTCATCCAAACATCCTAAGTCAAGAGAACTATATTTTTAAAGTGCTTTTGCCATGGACTATATTTTTCTATGTATTAGTGCAATATCCTTACACAGTGAAACCCTGCATTCTGTATGGAGCCTTTTGGTGCTATCATAAGAATATAACCAAAGCTGTATATACAGTTGTTATTCTAAGATAGATGTTGACTTTAATCTACTTAGGAGCACTTTTACCAACTTATGATTTGCTTTGGGATCTTTATTGTTAATGCAGATATTGAATAGTCTAGGAAATGCAACATCTCTTATACAAAGTCATGTCTTAAAAGAGCCATCCAGTGTGCCATACTACTCGGTTTATTTAAATTACACTATTAATTCTGAGTTGATCCTTCTGTGAATTTTAATATATCACAAGGGATCTCTGGATTTCTAGCTCAGTAAGATGTCACTGCAAATAAAAAGTTAATGGTTTCATCCTAGCAAAAGCTGTTGGAAATAGGTCTTACTTTTTCATTAGTATTTTTTGTCTTTGCATATATAGTAGTACTCACATTTGTTGCTTCAGTTCAGCAGAACAGAAGTTAGATGAAGTCTGACTCTATCTGCTATAAAGCTTTCAACTTTGTCCTTTGGAAGCCAGCTATGATAAACTCCGTGAATCTTTGACTTTAGTTCAAAGGTGATTAAAAGTTATGTGTGTATACCATCTGCAGGTATAGGATTTACACCCAGAAGAAAATAATATTTGATATAAATACAATTTATTATTGAAGTGACTAGAGGAACAAATAAAACAGAACAGAGATCACAGCAGTGCGGATCACATCAGCCTTTTAACAGCTTCAAACCTAGAAGAATGATTGTTGAGACTAAGCTATACAGTGGACAGTGCCCGGAGAAACTCAAAAATTGCAGATGTAGATTAAACTGGGTAGCTAAGATGAGCTGCAACATTTTGTCTCCATATAAAGACTTCAGAGTTAGTTTGGGTATTCATATGAAAATGAAGTCGGAACTATTTTCAGAGCTATTTTGACAACTACAGTAATAATGTGCAAATCTCAAGGTGTGGGTCTCATAGTTTGTTCTCCCACACAAACTTGCTGAAGTATGTAATTTTAGGTGTCAGAATACCTGGCTTTTCCATTTTTAGGTGAATCAGCTCCATGTTACCAGACTCAAAAAGGGACTGTTAACCTTTCTAGGCCCATTATTGTTTTTTGTCCCATGTTCCATGGTTGGTGTGCAACATTACAAAAGACTCTTCTGGCCAGTCGTTAATCTTGGTGGGATAAGAATATTGTCCTTTTTTTGATTTTGTACAATACTTAGTATATAGAGAGTTGCCCCAATATAAATTTCTTGTATGTTCCTTCTCACCAATCTGTCCTAATCTGTAGAGACTTGGAAGTTAAAAAAAAAAAAAAAAATGCCCATCCTACTTTTCTGCTTACTAGGTTTCTTTGCATTTCACAGAATTGATTTGGCTGGGAGAGACCTCTGGGATCAGAGTCCAGTCTTTGCCCTAACGCAGCCGTGTCAACTAGACCATGGCACTGAGTGCCACATTCAGTCTTTTCTTAAACACCTCCAGGGATGGTGACTCCACCACCTCCTTTTTGTCACGTTTTAGCTGCTTGGTATTCCATTTCTCCCCTTTCACCTCCTAGAGATAAACCTAGAGGACCCCAGGGAAGGTCCCAAAGCACTGACCCTCTAAGCCACACAAGATCCAGGGAATTGAAGGGGAGTGAATGTTGATGCTGGGGATGGGGCTGCATCAAAGCTAGTCAGGAGCGAGTGGTGGGAACTATTCAGTGGTATATATACATAATATACAGTGGTGGGGATCTCTAGTGTATTTTCCCTGGTGCACAAGACAGCTCTGCGGAGGATTACCTAACAGCAGAGGCAGCTGGTGGACTAGGTCATAGGATAGGCCTGTCTGACTACCGAGTCATGTGGCAAAGGAAGGGGCCAAAGTGTTAGATTGCAACTGGAGGACATGTCATCTACTGTGACTTTTTGTTTGTAGGACATTGCTGGTTAACGTGACCCTGGCTCACTTTGTGCCCTCTCTCCCAACCTCCAGCAGATGATCTGTTTGCTGGCTCAGTAGGTCAGGCTAAGCACCAGTGTCCGGCAGGTTTGAATTGTGGACAGGAGGGAGGGGGAGCTATGCTGCAAGTAGGATACAGCTTAGCTTCATGGAAAGAGAAAGCAGAGTGAATTCTGCGTGAGTCACGCTCAGGACTGGAGGAGGGGCAGGCCTACTAGGAAGCATATGACTGCAAATATTATCAGGTTGGGCAGGAATATAGATTCTTGGGGTGCTATCAAGAAGGGAGAGAGAAGAGGCTACCTCACGCAGGAGCATGGGAAAGGAAAGGTGAAGCCCCTTTTCTAGGTCAATTAGACATGTGTTTAGGTCACCAAGGAGGTGCAGGACAATGATGTGAAGCCTTTGAAGCAAAGCTTACTTCTAATGCAAACCTCTCTGCAAGATTTCATTGATAGCACGACTTCATACCTATATAACCAGTGTACAACTCCCTGCATAATTACTACTTTAAAGCATAATCTGTATTTGAGAAAACTTTATTTATACCTCCATATTGGGTAATACGTTGCTAAGAAACAGAGGGTATTCCTTAAAAAGCAGGACATACCATCTGCTTAGCTTTGGTATATCGCTCTGTGATATATGATGTAGAGACAGCATATGGATTTTCTAGTTATCTTAAGAGCCTGAAAACTGCTGTCATGGATCATCCCCAGCCAGCAACTAAGCACCATGCAGCTGCTCACTCACTTCTCCCCCCTCCCAGTGGGATGAGAAGGAGAATCGGAAAAAAAGTAAAACTCATGGGTTGAGATAAGAACACTTTAATAACTAAAGTAAAATAAAATACTAACAATAATAACTGTTACTGTAATGAAACGGGATATAACAAACAAAATCCCCACAAGAAAAGCGATATATAATGCAGTTGCTTACTACCCACTGATCAATCCCTAAGCACTGATCGGCCCCTCCGTGCCAGCTCCCCCCAGTTTCTGTACTGGGCATGACTATGCTATGGAATATCCCTTTGGCTGGTTCGGGTCAGCTGTCCTGGCTGTGCTCCCTCCCAGCTTCTTGTGCACCTCCTCGCTGGCAGAGCATGGGAAACTGAAAAATCCTTAACTTAGGACAAGCACTACTTAGCAACAACTAAAACATCAGTGTGTTATCAACCTTATTCTCACACTAAATCTGAAACACCCTGTACCAGCCACTAAGCAAAAAATTAACTCTATCCCAGCTGAAACCAGGGCAACTGCCAACCACCTTTAAAAGACTTTGGAGTTGAGTAAGTATGCCCCGTGCTAAAGGATTGTATTTAGCACCTAATGCGTGGGAAAACTCCAAAGGAGTATGTGGAAAAAAATTTCTGTTCTGAGTTCCCAGTGGCCACCTATAAATAATGTAAAACGTATCAGTGCACATAAAACATAGTTTATTAAATAAAAAAGCTAGAAAATTGTCAGTAGCTATATTAGCAATCATGCGAATCAATATAAGTATAAAATTGATAGTCCATCGTAAAATCAGGTAGATGTATATTAAAAATACATTCATAATCCGGAAAAAAATCCTAATGCAACTCTTGTTGAATTTCTCCTAACACAGTCTTCCAGAAGCTCAGTAGAAAAGAACCTATCTGATACAAGCTAAACTTCGATGTGACCAGAACTAGTTTCTTTGTATTCAAAACATCAGCGTAGCTATCGGAACATAGTTAATTATTAAACATACGTGTATAATCAGGACACCTGACTTTGCAGATTGTTAGCAGGTTAGCATAGAGTACTTCTGTTTAAGCAGATGAGAGAAGGAAAATAGGATTATAAATTTATTTGCAATGTTTTGTTAGGCTAAGAAAAATAATGTAGACTATTCTTGCTAACTGCACATTGATACAGTTTCAATGCAGTCTAGATTTTATCTAAAATGTCAAGGATCTTGGATCAGAGAATTTTGCTGTTAGTAATTTCATTTTTAACAAGTCTGCAGAGTACAAAGGTACTTTCAGAATGGAAGAAGTGTGGTGATCGGGAATGTGAGAGTAAGTAAAAAAGTTTTTTTTCAAAAGGAGTCTGTGGTGTATATGCAGCTATTATGAACCATAATGTCGAAATTAGCAATGAAACAGACTGAAAATGTTTGTTGTCAATATACTAAGTTTATAAGCAATAGGCTTAAACTTTTCAAACAAAAAAAAAGAAAAAAAAATACTTGCTGGATTGTGTTGTGTAAGTATATAAAGATCAAAGTTCAGTAAAATTACTCTTGAATAGCTAGTTTTTCTCAGGTTTCCGCAAAACAGGCAGTATAAAGCAGCTTTAAAGTATTTTTAACTCATTCTTCACAGGTATAAAAGAGATTTAAAAAAACCCCAAATGGTAGGCTATGAACTGAAAAAGATGACTATATATCTTGTGTTTATAGAACATTCACAGCCCATTCTGCAAAACTCTATTTTTTTCTACTGGAACAAACTAGTTAGTTTGGGGGTTTTGTAATCCTTCTTACAAGGATGTTAATATATCCTCTTTACTTACTTTTCCTTCTTTAATATGAAGTAAGAGCAGTAACTAGTTATGGAGTTCCTAGGGAGTAAATAGCTCTGCAGGATGCAGAGCCACTGAATCACAAGTGGGCAGCGATAAATAATGCCCCATTTATTATCCATTGATTACCTTTGTGAGACCTGTCATAATCGTATGTAATTGAAGCTGTTTCTAAGCTGTCTCCATTGCTTTGGCAGCCTTAATTGTTGCATTTTCAATGTGGATAGTTTGTTCGGAAGCAGAAGAGACCTTAGGTTTCCTCTGCTGATGGATCTTTATTTTCCTGTGGCGCCATGCTGACTTCAGCGGGTTCTGGATGCTCAGAGATGTCTGGTTTTGTGGAACAGCATGTGGAGTGGGCTCCAAACCCACCAGAGGACATCAGCAGTGGTTTCTGTGGGGAGACAGGGGTAGAGACAAAGAGAATTCAGAGTCATCCAAATTGAACTTGAAACTTTGTTTCTGACAACGTGTTTAAGGTTTATGTTGCTTAAACTCACCTATTTTCTTCGTAAGATGAATGCGTTCAAAACAGAGGACAAAACCCCTAAAGTAATTACTAGATTTAACTTAGAATTTCTAAAATATACAATTATAAATATGCCTGGGAAATGTTTTTAGCTGTTTAGATCTGGCGTTAATAGTTGAACTTGCTGATTCTCCACAACCATTTCAGTATTGAAAGCTTGGCTGAATAAGGGCTGAAAAATGCCCACATAGGACAAGAGCTCTTCTCCCTGATGTCTGTAGTAAATAAGAAAGAAAACAGGATAGGGCTGCTTTTTGCATTACTTGCTTTACACTTGATGATATAAATGGATTAGTATCATAACAAAGCACATACTGATGTATTAACAAACATTTTAATGTATTTATATGTATCAGACTTCTTCAGTAACGTATCTGACTTCAGAGAAAATGGCTGCTATACGTATTTCTTTCTTTCTACATACTATTCCAGCGGCAATGAGCAGAGTTCAAGCCACTACAGACTACTTAGGGCCTGATTGCCGGTATCTTAACTTCAAAACAGGGGAAGAAATAATGGTATACTCCAAACTTTCAAGGAAAAATGAAGACTTGTGGACAGGAAGTGTAAGTACTTCAATCTGAAAGTCTTTCTCCATAAATAATTTAGATAGTATAATAATAGCATAACAACTGCAGTCTGCTTGCTTCTAGGGATCTTCCATCCCTTTTGTAATATTAACCAGTCATGGATCAATATAGTATTTGGGAGATGGGTCATTGTTATTATCCTTATATAGAAAGGGAAAATCAAAGCGAAAATCTATCTTGACATAGAGAGGCAAAGATCACTCATGGAGAAACAAAGTCAAGATCAGAATCCAAGTTTTCTGTCTCCTTCATCTAATCATTTAGCTATAATGATTTCATCTCATTCCCTTAAAAACATTCAGGTCTATCAGGTCAGGTACCTACCACCAGGTCTGTGGGTAAGAAGGTTTTACAGTTGCTTAATCAGCAAGCCAGTATTGGGACCTGACTTCACAGTTCAGTGCCCAAGGAAAGTTCCCAGAGAAGTTATGTGCATATTTAATGATTTGGAACAATTGACAATGTAGTTAGAACAGCCATGTAGTTTTGTTATAGCTAAGAAGGAACAGATACATTGTGCATGGATACAAATCCAACTGCTAGTAAAGCTGTGTAAGTGCTTCGAAACCAGAAGGTATTGGTAAACTTTTTTTTTTTGCTAAGTGATCTGTCACATTTATTGTTTAACAGTGAAATTCCACCTTCCTGTTTTTTCATCTGAGAGTATCTTTGCAGGTACCTCACTCTTCCTTGCCTTCCAAGATGTATTCCTACATTAAAGACTAAGTGCAATGGTTTGATGTAAAGTTACTCGTTGGTTTCTTGGTCAGACTGACCTTTACTTCTTTTCATCATTATCATCAACTTACTTTCTGTAGTGTTGCCATTTCTTCATTGCCATTTTCTCTTCAGCTGCAGCTGGTCTGATACCTGAATTTCATATCCTACTTTTCTTTTAACTTATTTTGGGTCATTAGTTATTAAGGCATGACTGAGTCAATGGGAAATTTGCAGCCGATTTTAGTAGGAGCTGGCTGAGATCATCTGTGCACACAACACTGTCTTCAGTTGAAGCAGTGTTAAGGCTACCGGTTTGATTCTGCACAGACACACATTCATAAAAATAATACAGAAAAGAATAGTATGGAGTAATATACTCCCCCTTGCTTTCTGAAATAGCAAATAGAACACTTTTGTGAAGGAAAAAGAAACCAATCTTCTAACCAAACAAAATGAAGGGGGTAGGAGGCAGTCCTATAAACTGTTTATTTGTATTCATACTTTTCTAGCATACATGCAAGTACCTAACATACTTATCATTGAGGTTTAAATGCTCTCATTCCTTTTATATTTTTTACAGAAAGGAAAGGACTTTGGATATTTCCCAAAAGATGCTGTGAAGGTTGAGGAAGTTTTTATTGCAGAAGAAGTTGAAGTGCTCACTAAGGTAAACCAACATTACCAGATTTTCCAATGCAGTTCAGAGCAACTGAAAATCTAATATCCAGTTAGAAGTTCAAATGTCAATGCATATTTTATTTCAGATAATTCAAAACATGTATTTTTTCATTATTGCTTCATTTGCGTGTTTATTGTCATCTAAAATAAATTTTATCTAGTAAGTGATATAGAACCATTAGGAATAATATATTTACTTATAGTCCGTTGTGTAAAGTTATACACATGTACAACTACACAGAAAGAGAGAGAATAAAGATATATTGCTGAGCTACACAGTGCTGTAGAAAATTACACATGAAAGCATTTTAAAAGTTAATATTGTTCTTTTAGGAAACTGATTTCCTTTGTCTTCATGGAGATAAGTACGCTTTTGAAAGTGAAGATAGCGCATTACATGATCACAACAAAGAAAATGAATATTCATCATCTGATGCAGAATCAAAGCTGCATGAAAACGAACTCTTAAAACATACAAGAGACTCCATGCAAAAGGAAGAAAGAGTTGAATCAGTTTCTGAAAATGATTCCAAAGAATTTCACACTCAGGAGGAGTCTGCAAGCAAAAAGTTGGTTAGAAAAAATGAGGACAGAAAAGATGATACTGAAGAGCAACAAATGCAAACCAGTCCCCCATTAGAACCCATTCCGACTCAGTCTAGTTGGATTGCAGGATGGTTCACCGTAGGAAGTAAAAATGATGAAGAGCCCTTAAAAGCCATTACCGAATCTTTAGAAGAAAATACATACCGAGGCAGAAAAATAGTAGTAACTGCTGAAAATGATTTACAGGAGCCAAATGATAAGGAGGAACAAGCACCCCCAGCATCTGTTTGGTTTCAAGGTGGACTGACGGACTTTCTGTATTTTAGTGAAGAGAATGTGGATGTTGCTTTAGCAGCAGACAAAAACGATCCACAAATCCATGGTGTTTCTGGTGTGCCTGGACATTCCAATAATGAACAGGAAACAGCAGCCACAGAGTTATGGACAGAAGAAGAAAAGAGTGAAAGCCAAGAATCCCCATCAAATTGGTTTAATTTGGGTTTAAGTAATGTTCTTAATTTTGGCCATGCCGAGAAAGATACAATTGCTATGGAAGATCAGCAAAGCACAGAAAGAGAGGATGAAGCAAATAAGAATGAAGAAGTGCAGACATTGTCCATGTGTGATTCTCTGTGGTCTAAAGAACCAAAGGAGATGGTTAAAGCAGTGACAGGTGAAGAAGATGAAGAGAATTATGCAGAAGAAATAATAGATTCAAACAGCAACATGTCAAATCCTGGGGAGATACCAGCAAGTGTGCATACTGTTAATGACACCAAAAGCACCTCAAATAGCACAGAATCATCTTTTGATATACTAACAGGTGACAAAGAGAAGCGAATCGAACCTTACAGTTCAGAACAAGACTTGGTATCAGAAAGCCAACTGCTGAAAAACACCGAAGCTAAAAAGAGAAATCAGGAGTCAGAAAGCAAACATGGCCAGTCAGGTTGGTATACAAATATCTATGATAGCTTTATTAATTATAATATGGACACATATGATAATCAACAGGGACATGAATAAATTACATCAGATCAGATTTCTTCTTCTCCTAGCCCACCTCAGAATTGTGATCCCTCAGACACACACAAAAAAATCCCACAGAAGAAAAGCCTCACATAGCTGAAGGACAGAGCCATTTATTCTCTTTTAGCCATTTTGCAGACATACTGAAGTTTCATGTTCAACAACCAAAGAAGAGCAAGTGCAGAGTTTGCAAGATGACATATTTTTTTACTGATGAAACCCGTCAAACTGAAAATGATGATGAAATATTACAAGGAAATAATAACAGAGCAATAAAGTACAAGTAAATCAGAGAGTTAATGAGGACCCGTCTGAAAATGATGAGTTTGTAAACCAAGAAAGCAATCTGTTTTCCTCACTAGCTGTGCAAAATAATGAACGCAGTAATGAAAAAGCAAAACATATTGTCAAATTAGTTAGCAATAGTGATGCTTCACAGATTTTATGTGTTGAAACACTTGTACAACCTGAAGTATCTCAAAGACAATATGTACCTTTGTTTAGTTATTCCAGTGCTGAAGAACGCGTTCCTAAGAGTAGTGAAAGTCAGGAAAACACCAATATAAAAGGTTATTATAATGACCCTGTCTTGAAAGATTTTCTACATTTACCTTCAAAATTAAGTTTTGAAAATACAGTGGAAATTGGAACTCATCTGCAGGGAAAATGAAAAATGGAAATAGTTGAAACAGTGCAAAAAGAACAAAATTACCTCAACACTTGTATTCAAGAATCTGTAAATTCAGAAAACGAATTACCAAGTTATGGGGAACTACAAGGGACTGCAGATAATCATCTGGGCATGAAGAAGACTCCATGTGACAGTGAACAGAATCTTACTCTGGAAACATCTGAGAAAGGCAAACCAGTCAAATGCTGTGATACAGAACAAAATTCAGCATCGAAAAGCCGTTTCAAAATGAATGGTGATGCAAAAGATAAAATTCACAAACCAGAGAATAAAACCAACCCACTGGGTTTTTATGAAAATAACATCAAAGATTTCAGTCAGGATATTTTTAATGATGAACAGGATCATAAATCTGAGGAGTCCCAAGAACTGACTCCAGACCAACCTTTCTCTCCTCACCCCTCATCTAGTGACTTCAGTTTAACAGGTACCAAAACTTTGAAAAAATTGGCCACTTGGAAGACATAGGGAGTTTCAGAATGGAAGGTAAAAACTGCTTGCTGAGAATACAAGACCTAAGCTTCCATAATGAAAAAAGGCCTCAATATAAGCCTTGATAAAATACTATGAGGAAAAGAAACTGAAGGCACCTCAAATCAGAAGGTTAAACATATCAAATCCGATAACAGTAATGCAGATACCTCCAAAGAGAATCATCTTTCTCTTCAGCTGGCAGTGCAAAATAACAAACAGGGCAATGGAGGAAGAAAAACAAGCGAAATCTACCAGATTAGTAAAAGATAGGACAACACTTGATGCTCTTGGTGATAGCTTGTCAGGAGAGAAGCTACAAACTGAATGAATTCCTATGAACGTGCAACACGATCAGAAAGGTAAAGCCGAAATAACACAGGAAGATTTACATTCCCAACAGGAGCTTCTGGTACTACAGAATGGGTCAGAGGACAGTCTTAATCCAGATCTTAGAAAGAAATATAAAAATCACATGTGATACAGTAAAAGAAAAGGTTATTCTGCATCATCAGGTTTACACCCATCAATTCAAGCCGTTATGACAGTGCAAGATAGAAAAACATAGAAAATTAATCTGACTTTTGGAAGGCATCATCAAACACTACTTCAAAAGGCACAGTAATACAAGTCTCCAGCTGAATCCAAGTCCTCAAAAAATTTATAAAGAAAATTTATTGACAATAAAAGCAGCAGCCATGTGATATTAGTCTGACTGAATGTGAACTTTTACCGTAGAAACCCTCTAAAATAGAAGATGATTTAAAAAAAAACCAAACCAAAACACTATTACCATTAGTGTCTTCTAAACCGCTCAAACTAGAAAGCCAGACTGCTATTAAAAAAACCCCAGATTAATTAAATCCTGTCAACCTGGAATTGCTCAAAAATCTGACTGATAAAGTTGTGTTGAAAAAGAAGATACTGTTGTAACTGAAAGGATGGATAATACTGAAAAATTAATTGCTGCTACTAAAACAAGATAGGAAAGGGAAAGAAAAAAAGAAAGAATCTGAAAATCAGAGAGAGTCAAAGTCCAGAAATATAAATAAAAAAAATTACATTATAACAGAAAGGGTTCCAGGTAGTATTTTTACCAGAGCATCAGGGTTCTTTGCAAATACATTTAATAAAACTACCAATTAAGCCTGCATAAAAAAAAGTCCGAGGATACATGTCCTATTGAAAAAAGACAAATGAAAATAGTGATGACAGTAGGACTGGTAGAGTTAAATACTGCACAGAAGAATGAGATGGAGTTAAGAGAAAAGGAACTGACCAAGAAAAAGATACTACTAAATCTGTAGAAGGTGCGGAAAATGATGAAATCAATTTAGAAATCATGCAAGATACATTTGAGGAAGGACAGCTTGGCATTTTGGAAAAAATACTATTGCAGAATCCAGCAAAACCAAGGAAACTGACAAAATCATAGTAGGGCAGACAGAGTTCATGTCCCCAAATCCAAGCGAAGATTTACCAATCAAATTGCAGCTGCACCAGCAATTTGAAAAGATTCATCATGAAATCACAGCTTACTCATGTAAAGACAATGTTATGCAGAGGAAACAAGTGATTGTGTCTGCACAAAAGGGGCACAATTTCGACACTGGGCAGGAAAAATGTATGGAAAAAAGGAATGTTCTTCTAGAGCTGCCAGAGCTTTTGTCTGCTGTAACAATTAAGTGTGCAGCCCAAACTGCAGCTAAAAGTACTGGACTAATGCTTCACTAACACTGATTTAGTAAGAACAAAATATGCTTTGTTTGAGGAAAAAAAATAACAGATACAACACTCTCTCCTTCTGGTGATTTAAAATCAAGAGGTAGTAAGCCTAACTCATAGTAGTTAATGACAGATTTATGAAATTTTGGGGATCTGGTGATACAGATTGAGTTAATATAATGGTAATAGTTCAAGAGCCAGTTACTCTTCCTGACTTTTGACTATTGGACTATTTGTCATGGGTATCTTTGGCCAGTTGTGGCTTGAAGCATAGAATTAAAAATTAATCAATTTGTAAATGGTATTTTTTTGTTCTACATGTGTAAGCAAGGTGTGGGAATTTTTGAAAGCAGTATTTTATTTCCTTCAGGAAACTTAACTCCAAGTCACTGAAACTGAGGCAGCTAGGTGCCTTCAGTCATACTTCTGCATGAACACGCCTGTGGTTTCTTGTTATTTCGCAGTGATGTTTGTTACCTTGTTGGGAAGTTGTTAATCTTTAATCATACACGGCATGTTTAATTTTTCTTTTTGTAAAGCTTTTCCCACTTGTATTTGGATATAATATAAGAAAGAGACCTACCAATCCTGAACAGGGAATCTATAGGCTAACTATCAAAACCAAGCATATTTTTTCCTGAACATTGATTTTAACTACTTTACTACATCACCAGTTTTGCTTAAAGCTCTATCCTCCAAACTCTGTTCCAAGACCATTACTGGAACCAGTATTTCTTAAACCATAAATCTGTAGCACATTTTTACTCTGATGTAGCACTCTAGTGTGTGGCTTTAAGTTGATGAAAATAAAAGAAAAAAAAATCAAAATCTCTATAGAGGTTAATGTATTATAAAACTGTGTGTGTGTTTGTGTGTGTAAGCTGAATCCTCTGAAAATAAACATGATTTCCCTTCACAATTATTTGCAGGAGTAGGCAGTAGAAGGCGGCTACTAGAAGAAACACCAGAGAAGGAACATGAAATGAATGCCCCTGTAGACAGTGAACGCGACAGTGACCAACATTCAAAAGTAACAGCAATTCCTTCAGTAAATTCTGAAGAAAAAATGGATAGTTCGGTAGTTGACTCTCCATTTGATGTTAAAAAGCCTTTCTCAGATGCCATCCAGAACTACGTTCCAAGTAATGGTAAGTGTTAAGTTTCTTAATTTTAAGGAAAATAAATTTGCAATCTTAAAAAAAATTAGTTGGAATTATAGGAACTTGACAATCGTAATGTAAAACCTTTTTTTTTCCCTTATGAACAAACCAGAAGGAGGCTGGATATATCAGATACTTCTGTGCTTGAATGCTCTTGAGATCGGGGAATCAATACAATCTGTATTTTCAACAGTGAAGAATATTATCAAAAAGGTAAGAATTTTTTATGTGATATGTTGTTGACATTAGTGAAAAATCAAGCCAGTTATTGGTTATGTTCTGCAATGAAGCTCCTAAAAAATGAAAGAAGAAAGATCCTTTTCAATAAACCTTCTGTAGTGCCCTTGCTTCTAGGATTATCTGACGCTAAGTGAGACAGAGCTGGAACAAGAAAATGTCAGGTTAGCTGCTGTTCATCTGCCTCTGTTGTTTGCACTGCAGAATCTGATTAACTTAGTGTGTTGGTTTTGGTTTTTTAAACTGTACAGCCAGCAAACAGCTCAGTGGTCAAAATATCAGCATGTGAGGTTTTTTTAGTTTGTTTGTTTTTAAATGAAACTCATAGCTCCCTCTAGTTCCCATGACAGTACTGATTAAATTGCTTGGACTTACAAAGTTTGGGTTAGGATGAGTAAAGTAATTAGAATACTTCCATTGTTCCTAAAAAGTAATTTCAAAGCCTTGATTCCCAAAGATTCCCATAGTTCATAATTGCATAAAAAAAACTTTTCTAAGCAAATATATGAAATACAAAACGGGATTATGATTGCTGTGGGCATGTCTTAAATATCAAAATATAAGGACAGAGTGAAGGTTGAGCTTACTGGATGTAACTGCACAAGAAACAATGCTGCCAGAGGAAAAGGTAGATGTTGTTTCACTGTCCTCTCTAAATAGAAGAGCAATGTCAGGTAAAATCATATCTGGTAAACTTCATTAATTTTGGTACTTTAACTTCATTTAGATTGCATACTTGAAGGTTAAGAACCACATATATTTGTTCCTGATTTCCAGTGTACTTACATAGATTCTGGTTAAATTCTTCAGCCCAGAAGAAAACTGAAGAGCTTTTGCTTTTTTTTTTGTTTTTTGTCATGAAGCAGATGGGATTTTAATGCTCATTGCTAGTTCACTGCTATGGCCAAACTCATTCTCATATTGTTTGATCCAGCTAAACAAGCCACCTCCACCTTCTACTTGTCACTGTCTCTTAGCTGGTACCAGCTTCACAGGCAAGGCACTCGCCTTCTATTGTGAAAACTGAGTTAGCATACTTTAAGAAAAAAAAAAAAAGAGAGTATTTAAGTACATGTAAAAAAAAAGATAAGAAAAAATGTAATACAAAAATAGTCCTGGCGAGTGAGATTAAAAAGAAACCACTGCTATATGGCATTGCAGCTACTGTTTCTCGCATCTTCCCTTACATTTGTGCATCAGCAGCCCCAGTACGATCAATTTTTAACCAAGAAACTCAGCTGAAGGAATTTAGTGTAAGCGGTGCTGAACTATTGGGGAGCAGACGGCGGCTCC